CACCGCTTCATAATCAGAGCTATCTGAAGGCCAGGCAGAAGTGGAGGCTCTGAGTTCCCTGACGTCTCGCAGAGCTGCGGGCACAAGTTGCAAGGCAAAACCCATAGTTCCCACGGACACCGCATGAAAAGGGGTGCCCCAAAGAGTAAAGGTACATTGAAACCAGGCCTTCACAAAGCTCAAAACCCAACAACCATATGCTCTTACAGGCATTAATGAAGTCAATACGTGCCATCTTCAAATGAACTGCTCTAGAAAGACCAAAGCTCTCACACTATACAACACCTGACTGGATCAAGATGAGCCTTCTTTTACTGCCTGTGCAAAAGACAAAAAAAGCATCCACAACAAAGTCAGTCACCTCTGTGGAAAGAAAACATCAACCAGGTCCTCAACAAGTGCTGAGAAAGTGTGTAGATGCAGTCTACAGGCACGTCAGAAAACACAGGACCAATTGACCTGAACACAGAAAGAGACAGAACAACAGGAGCTCACAAAGCATCAGTACTGATGCCCTGAACACATCAAAAGAGTCTTAATTAAAAATGCTCACGAAAATAGATGACAAAATGGAGAACTGCACCAGTGCTGTGAGCTATAAAAAAAATGGAAATTCTAAGGGTAAAAAAAAAGTAACTGAATTAAAGATCTAATAATTTAAGGGTAGACAGTAGAAAAAAATGAATCCCCAAATCCCCAAAATGGATTATTAAAAAATGTTCAGTCTGCTTCAACCTGGTACTCCAAGATGTGAATGCAATATACCGGTATGAAGCAGGGAACCAGAAGAGAGGTCTGAGGGGCCAGCCCCAATCCCAACTACGTGGACAGCCAGAAGAATTTACTTCAGAGGACAGCACTGAAGCTACAGCTCAGGGAGAGGGATATGTCTGATCAGAGCACACGGGAGCAAATGAAGAGGGAGAAAGAGAAAGTGGAGCACACCTTGGCCCACCAAGCCTGGAGGACGATATCCCCACTGAGAGCAGCCCATGCACAGAGAGAACCATATGGCTGGCCCCACTAGGAGACACGACATCCCTCACTGACCAACAGCCCTACAGGGGACAACACCAAGACACAGTGTGGGAATTGCGCCCGTTATGATCCCACCACACTGAGGTAAAACACTAAGGGCGTGCAACAGAACAGCAAGGGGAGCAGAGCAAAGAAGTCCGATGAAGTACCAAAAATAGACTTTGGGACCAGGGCATGGGACCCCATCAGCCTCAACCAGAAAACACTCCCAAAAGTCAACAAACAGACCTTGAAATATTTACAGGCTTTTCTTTTTTGTCATTGTTTTTTGTTGTTTTCTTTTCTTTTGTTGCTTTGTTTTGCTCTGTCAACATGTTTTTGTGCATATTATCATCTCTGCAGGTCTATTTAGGTAAGATAGGCTGGATAAACAATCTAGAGAAAACAACGGGACCAATGGTTCTGGGGGTACATGGGAGAGCGGGAAGTGGAGGAAAGGAAGTGGTGTTAACAAACCCAGGGACAAGGGAACAAAAAGTGATCCAAAATCGGTGGCAAGGAGGGTGTAAGAGGCCCGGTAGGTCTTGATCAAGGGCAATGTAACCGAGAGGAATTACTGAAACGCATGAAACACAAATGAAAGCTGAGCATAATAGTGGGACAAGAGGAAAGTAAAAGGAAATAGAGGAAAGAACTAGGAGGTAAAGGGCATTTATTTATAGAGGTCTAAATACAGGCAAATACATATGTAAACATAGTTATATATGATGCGGAAATATCTATGTGCATATATTTATAGTTTTAGTATTAAGGTAACAGATGGACATTGGGCCTACACATAAGTACTCCCTCAATGCAAGAACACTTTGTTTTATTAAACCGGCATTCCATGATGCTCACTTTCCGACACGATCCCTGAAGACAAAGCAGGTTCATTAGCAAATGTGGTGAAGAAAGCTGATGGTGTCCAGCTATCAAAAGATATAGCATCTGGGGTCTTAAAGGCTTGAAGGTAAACAATCAGGCATCTAGCTGAGAATCAACAAAGCCCACATGGAAGAAGCACACCAGCCTGTGTGATCACGAGGTGTCGAAGGGATCAGGGATCAGGCAACAAAGAACAAAAAATCATATCATTGTGAATGAGGGGAGTGCGGAGTGGAGACCCAAAGCCCATCTGTGGGCAACTGGACATCCCCTTACAGAAGGGTCGGGGTAGGAGACAAGCCAGTCAGAGTTCAGTGTAGCAAAGATGAAACATACAACTTTCCTCTACTTCTTTAATGCTTCCTCCCCCCCTCCCCCCACTATCATGATCCCAATTCTACCATACAAATCCGGCTAGACCAGAGGATGTACACTTGTACAGCTATAATCTGGAAACACAGGGAATCCAGAACTGATGAACCCGTCAGATCCAGTGGTGAGAGTGACGAAACCGGGACGGTGGAGGGAAGGTGGGGTAGAAAAGGGGAACCGATTACAAGGATCTGCATATAACCCCCTCCCTGGGCAATGGACAACAGAAAAGTGGGTGAAGGGAGACGTTGTATAGTGTAAGACATGACAAAATAATAATTTATAATTTATCCAGGGTTCATGGCGGGGTGAGGAAGGAGGGGAAAAATGAGGAGCTGATACCAAGGGTTCAGGTAGAAAGCAAATGTTTTGAGAATGATGATGGCAACAAATGTACAAATGTGCTTGACACAATGGATGGATGGATGGATTGTGATGAGTTGTACAAGCCCGCAATAAAATGACTTTTTTTAAATGTCCAGTCTGAAGCACAAGGGAAGAAAATTAGGAAAGTCCAGAAAAGGGAAGGTTTTTGCCACCGACAAGAAAAACACAAACAGACCCAAATCAAAGCTCACTTGGACTGTCTGCTAAACGCCCCAGGTCCCTGCGCTGTCCCAAGAAAAGCCACGAAGGGAAAAGACACACCTGAAGCAACAAGGAGCCTGACACCTGACTTCTCAACAGAAATCATGAAAACCACAATAACTGGAATAATATACGGGGGCTTCAAAGGTTCATGGAAAAATTCCATTATATTTTAATTACATTTTCCACAGACGTTTGGAGCCCCCTCAAATCTCTTTAAAATGAAAGAAAAATAACTGCCAACCTTGGAAGACGTATAATCAGAATGTTCCTTGCAAGCAAGAATGGCGAGACTTCGTCTGATGCACTTGACCATGGTTGTCAGGAGAGACCAGTCCCTGGAGAAGGACACCATGCTTGAGAAAGTCGAGGGAGAGAAGGGGAGGAAGACTGGCAGGGAAATGAGGGGCTATGGCGGCTGCAACCACGAGTTCACAAAGAACAACGGAGGATGGTGCAGGAGCAGGCAGTGTGTCATTCCATGGTGAATAGGGTCATTGCATCACCATGAGATGGAACCACCTTGATGACACCAATAATGGCAAGATTATCCTGGGCAAGCAATTAAATCCTTCGAAAAGGAAGGGGAAATAAACTCACCTTCAGGTAAACCAAAACTAGGAGAATTTGTCGCCGCATGTTGGCACTAACAGAAAATAATAATCTTGGAAGGAAAAGCATTAATAAATGGAGAATTTAAAATGAACACTGCCCACATGTAATATGTAATGCAGTCCATGATGCATACAGGCAACAGCAATGTCTTGCTGTCATGTGTTTTCACTGTATGTCTTTATGAAACTAGCGTCCACAATGATGATCGTAAAATAAATAAATCAAAAACTACAATCCACCACCATCAAGCCAGTTTCAATCCACAGCAACCCTAAAAGGCTGAAGAGAATCAGCGCACGGTAAACCTTTACCGAAGCAGACTGCACAGCTTCCTCCCATGCGCTCGCGGTCAGTTCCAACCCCCGACCTGGCAGTTGTAGAGTCCAACCCTTTAACCCGGGCATCTCCAGGGCTCCTTCATGATAACAATCAGGGACAATAAAAATTAAGTTAAAATGTTCTTATCAGGGAAATGATGAAGGTAGTACTTTATACGAAACTTCAAAAATCAAGAAAGAATGTAAGAGATCAATTCATAATTTACACACTGAAATCACAAAACAGGAAAAACAAGAAACAAAAACCAGACAGATCAAAAAGAAAAGATGGTACAAATAACATACAGCAACAGCTAAGTGCTTGGCTGCTCAGTGAAAGGAAAGATCTGAAGACTGACTTCCAGAAAGATCCATCAAGAAAACCCTAGGAGGCAGCTCAACATTGCCATGCTACACGATGGTACCCCACAACTCTCAACCACCACCACCAAGCTTGTTTTTCTTAAACATGGACGATTTATACAGCAAAACTGGTATAAATGGGAAGTCAAAAATGTTTCTTTTCCACTTGGGGTTCTGCCCCCCACCCCACCCCTCCCTTTCCCTCCCTCTCTACCTTGTTCCTGCACATGAACGGTTATGATCACTTGTTCCTCATTCACCCCTTCGTCTGTCTCTACAGACAGACACACACACACACACACACACACACACACACAAGCTGAAATATGTTCAAGAAACACAATTAAGTTCGAATGAAGTGGAAAGATTATTGGTCAAAATAACATACTGTATTAAGTTCTAATCGCTGTCCTGCTGGGCTTATAGCCAGTTGAGTAATCATTTCCAAGATTTACCTTCAGAAATCTCCATTAGGGTGTTTCCTCATTTGTAAAAATGGGGACAGGGGAAATGGTACCCCCCACCCCGCGCCTGCTGCTACGAGCACTAAAGTCAGAGTGCACAGGGTGGGCGCACAGCTGAGGGCTCACTGTCCACCCCACCATCTTGGGGAAGTCTTTCTGACATCAACGGTGGTCTACAATGGGGAGGGCACTGCCTGCCTCAAATGGCACGTACAAGGAGAGCCTTCCAAAGCACCCTACAAGTTTACCCTATTGGGACTATAGTCCTGAAAGGGGAGTTGGGGTGTTGTTTCTATTTTCACCACTTAAAGAAACCACATGTTAAGAACCGTATGCCACAGATGTTCTGACATCAGTGTATACAAACGTTTCTTACCAAGTCTCGCTTTCTTAGTGGAAGGAAGTAGTAATAGTGGCAGAAAGAAAACATCAGCGCGTAGCAAGTAAGCAGCTCTGTGTAGAAACACAACTGCAGAAAAAGCCAATGATTATCTTCACCAACACAATTGTTAATCCTGAAGGGGGAAAATGAAAAGAAAATATTTTAAATGTTAATAAGATGTTAATTTCAGAATCGATAAGCCTATGAAGCTAAAGATGATCACACACAAATGTCACATGTGTTCAATGTCACAGATATGCTGAAGCCCCTCAAACCTAACAGCAAGGGTACACCGATAAGGACGGGTCTGTGTACCTGATCCCCTCTGACCCACGGCCACTTGGTGAGGAGGAAGAGCAGACGGCAGAAGCCTGGCTTTACTGGAAGGCAAACAGAAAGGAGCTCACCAGAGGGTGAGCCGTTCGAAGAGACAGAGGCCAAGAAAATAAGAAGCTCCTTCTCCTGGACACGCTATTCCTGAGAGCATTCTAGCTGAGAGCAACTTAAAAGACCTAATGTGGCATGACCTCACCTATACAGTAACCTAGACTTGCCACTCTCACCTAACTGCTAAGCACTGAATTCTTCCCAGTCTTAGAATCTGTCCTTGATTGGTTGCTAAAAATAACTTATGTATATATCATTTGAAAAGAGTATTTTCATATAATATTTATAAATACTTAAAATAGTGAGTCCTAACAAGGGGCAGATTTTAAATGTTACAATTTATTTTCAAAGCTAATTCAAGCTGGATAGTTTGTTGTTTAAAATGTAATTATTTTATTTCGCTTTATTTTCCAAGTATTTAAAATTTCTAGCCTAGCTAGAACTAAATTACTCTGTACAAATGAATTCATTTCAAAACAGTTGTCACTGTTAGAATAAAAAATGGTATATTATGTAGACTCAGCTCCTAAATTCAGTTGTTGTTTTGAAATGTATTGCTGAAGTATTTTTTTTAATTTATTATTTTTTTAATCAATTTATTGGGGCTCATACAATTCATCACAATACATAGATCAATTGTATAAAACACATCTATACATTTGTTGCCCTCATTATTCCCAAAATTCGCCATCCTCGTTAGTATAGTGGTGAGTATCCCCTCCTGTCACGTGGGAGACCGGGGTCCGATTCCCCGACGGGGAGGCACATGCCTTTGGGGAGGGGGGAAAAAAGGAAAATGAGCTGATTCCGGGAACCCAAGAGGCAAGCTAAAGTATTTTTAAAAATCAAATATAGAACTGAAAGGCTCACAAAGGCATTTCTGGGGGCTAAGAGCTCAGGTTGTGTAAACATGAAAATTCTCATTGTGTGTTGCTGTCTGCAAGGATGGGTTATGCACACACAATTAATATTCTGTCAACAGCAGCTAGTTTAAAATGACTTATCCTTGTCCTGGCCCTGAAGAGTCTGAGAAACACTGCTAGGATCAGAGAGCTGCAAGAAACACTCTGGTGCCCACCCTGTTAGTCAGAGTTCTTTCTGTATCCTTTAAATGACTGAGAGTGATGAGAGACAGAAATATAAGAAATCTCCAGGCAATCAGAACTGACCCAGAATCTCAAGCTGCAGGATAAATAGGGTAAGGCAATTTCTAAAAGCAAAAGGACTTCTCCTTGTTTCCAATTCAGACAGTACATTGCCCTCATCCTCTAAATCTCCCTGCAGTGTCCCTCCTAGCGAATGCAGAGTGCAGGGAAATGCTGTGACTTGTTCAGACTCCGAGTCTGCTCTTTTCCATCCTCTAACTCTCTCTGTTCTCAGCTCCCACCCACCAGTCCTCTGAGAACATGAGCATCACTGCAGGACCAGAGCACCAGAGACAGAGACCTCACCCAGTGGTAGGATTTAGGTTAAACACACTTTGTTTCCTCACTTGCCAGTCTTTATTCCTTAAAAACATATCAACAACATCAGCCTCCACACTAGAAAGCATTTCCTGGTTGAAGATTTTTTTTTTCCCTAAGTCTTCTTAAGGAGAAATGATTGCATTCTTTTAACAAAATGCATCAATTTCCAACTGTCTTGTGAACATTTATTATATTTGTAATCAAAAAGATTACACTGAAAAGTGTATAAAATTGAGTCTCCCAGTGTGATTACCACTTAGCTGAATAGGTTTCACTTGTCTTTTCATCTGTAATGATTGTGAATGCAAATAGGGTTAGAAAATCACTTGAGATTTAATTTATTTAAATTCATGGCACATTTGTTAAAATATCTACTGCTGTATCTTGTTGACAAAATTAGATAATTTTTAGAAGTTTATATAGTAACAAAGTGTTTTTATCTAATATGGTTTACCTCTATGTAAATAATCAATTTAGAAGGCAAACTGAATTTCCACTAAAAACAATTAAGCTCGCTTTCAAAATAAATGACCAAAATAAGAAAACTCTACCTTGGTTAAATCACTAAGCAAAACTTAACTGAACTCTACCATTAAGCCAATGTTAAATAAATGCAGTTATAAATTTGGTTAAATGTAGTTAACTCGGTGTATATGCAAGTCTGTATGTGTAAATAAAGTCATGTATAGAAATATACTTATAAAGTGCTATACTACATAAACTTAAATATTTATATGGAGAATCAATGCTTGGAAAACAGAATTAGATACAATGTCTTATTCACAGATTTCTGTGACAACTTTGAAATGAGAAACAATAAAAATTCTCACAGCACTTGTTATAAAAATTCTATTTCTCAACTGAAGATTGTGCTTAAATACTATAGGGAGTACAGGAGAATCAGTTGTACAGTTACATACATCCAAGAGGCATGCAGGGTGAATACCTACAAGGGGTAACCCCAAACCCAGAATTGTGCTAGGCGGAGCAGAGCTTTCGTTGCACGCATTTCTCTAGCTAGGTGAGCATCAAGCAACTCACTTGTTAGCACACCCAGTGGTGTCACCTGGGAAGGTTCTCGCTCGTCACAGTGAATTTTTTCATAAAAGCAGTTTCACTCAAATCTCCTTTTTCGTGACGGCCAATTTAAGAGAACAGAGTGCAGCCATGAAATTCTGTTTCCTGCTCTGGAAAAATGCCGCAGAAACTTGGGATGTTGAGCACAAGAAAAACTCAAGTGTACGAGTGGTTTTCACGTTTCAAAAATAGTGAAATGTCGATTGATGACAAACATCATTATGAACATCTGTCGGTTGACCCATAGTGCATTTGGATTTTGTTCCACCAGGTCAGAATGTTAATCAAGCTTTCTATTTAAAGGTTCTGAAAAGATAGCATTACAGTGTGCAATAAAACGGCTTGATTTGTGGCAGACGGGGGACTGGTTTTGCCACCACAATGTACCTGCTCACTCAGCCATCTCAATGCGCCAATTTTTGGCAAAACACAACCTGACTCTCATGCCCTACCTACCTTATTCATCTGACCTTACTCTGTGTGACTTCTTTTTGTTTCCCCCAATGAAGAGGGATATAAACAGACAGTGATTTGATGACACAGAAGAGGTGAAAAGAGGTGTCAACCATCCAAACAGATGAGTTTGAAAAATGTTTCCAAGAATGGAATCACAGATTTGACAAATGTAGTAATGTAAAGGAGAGTACTTTGAAAGTGATAAGGTTGTTTTGCACAAAAATGTAAATACAATGGGGGCGGGGGGTGGGTATAAAGAAGAGCTGATACCAAGGACTCAAACAGAATGTAAACGTTTAGAAAATAATGATGGCAACCTAAGTACAAACATGCTTGAGACAACTGCTGTGTGGGTTGTTCTAAGAGCTGTAAGAGCCCCAATAAAATGATCTTTAAAAGTTTTTTTAATAGATAGCTTTGAAAAAAAGTTTCTGGTTTTTTTGGAGGAGCTGACCCCTCGTATAGCCAGTGCTTAATTCTAAAAGGGGCTTAATTTGGGAGGAAGGCGTTCTTAGGGTATCTGAAATTGCCAAATTAAATGAAAAGGGGAGCGGTGAACAACTGGGGAGATATGGCTTTCTAGAATTAGAAATAATAGCAGGTGCTATGCATTTTGTTTTCTATGTGCTAGATAGTAGTGTATTAACTGCTTTAAATACACTGCCTCGCTTCATGTGACCACTTTAGTTGTTCTGTGATATTTATGTTCAGGGTAGGTCAGGGTGTTTTTAGAAAAGATGGGGTTTCTGGGTAACAAAACGACTTTGGGAGAATTGACTGGCTGTAGACATGTGCAAAGGCATCCCGTACTAAACGATATTTTTTAAAAGCCTGCACAAGACCCTGTTTCTTTTCTCACTTCTCTTGCTGAGTGTTGCCAACATTGAAACCCTCTTACCACGGGCAGTGATGGTCCATTCTCCTCACACAGTGTCCGCAGCGGCTGCAGTGATGGGAACGCTTTGGTCTCATCAAGTTGCACTTGTTACATAATTCCCACAACTCCCTTTCTATAGAAAGAAACGAAAGTCCACTTAATGAAAGAAAAGGGCAAGTGCCAAAACAAAACTATAAGACATATTTTACAAAATTTTATAGGGAGTCTTCAAAATATATCTGAGAGGGTTCTTCCACATCTCCAATGTAAATGTGGTTGTTGTCAATATTGCTGCTCCACTTATGTGTGTCTTAGTTTGTAAATTTCTCATTTTAAAACTGTAACATAAGATTCTATTGTTATAGTCAAAGGGACAGAAAAAAAATGTGTTCCAGTTTTAGACACATCCTCCCGTGTAAAATATAAGTAGCGTCCAATGATAGAACCCCAAAACACAATTTTTTTCATTAAAATAGAATCTGATTCAAATGAATTAATTTCTAGGAAAAACTTAAACAAACACACTAGAGAAGAAATAGTGCTAAGTCCTAGGAGCAGATTAATAAATGTACGTCAACCCTATAACCTCACTGGGGAAAGCACATGCTACCGCTCTCCTCTTTTTCCAAACCATTTCATTTTTTGATACTAGTGGAATAATTTAAGAATGTACACCAGGAATGGAGAAGACAACAAATGAGCCTGGGAAGTATTAAAGTAATTTTCGTAGTGAAGATAGGGAAAAAATTACTACTTAATGAAAATAAAGGGGTTCTTTACAACATTGCCCTACAAGTCAAATTTTCCTCCAACCTGCAGTCCTGGTGACATAGTGGTTAACGTGTTGGGCTGCTGACTGCAAGGTCAGCAGTTCAAAACCACCAGCCACTCCTCTCCTTGGGAGAAAGACCAGGCTTTCTACTCTCTTACAAAGTTAGTCTTGAAAAGTCACAGGGGCCATTCTACTTTGTCCTATAAGCTAGCTACTGTGGACCGCCACTGACTCGATGGCAATGAGTTTGGTTTGTTCGGGGTTTTAGGGTAGTGAAAAGGGCACACAATATTCCATGCTAAACACACTACATTTTCACAACAGTACTTGCTTTCATTATAAATTACTCTGATCAGACTCCCAAAAACTATATGGGAGAGTCATCTACCAAGCAGGACAATTGCTTTATCATGTGGAACACACCTTTTTAAAATTCACTGATATGAAATAGTACTGGGACAACACTTTTAAAGCCTCCCACCACTTCCATCTAAACTACCACTTCTTTATAAGAAGGGCAGACTGAAAGTCAGCTCTCAGCCTACCCAGATGGAATAGCGCTGTATGCAGGGCGATCCTAGCACACGGGAGACAGACACTCATTGAAAGCTTGCTCAAGTCTGACAAGTATAAAACTGAGAAACGAAGCTTTCTAAATTAAGCACAAGGTAGCCTTCACTTTTCTACAGATATTTCTTATTTGAAATCCTTTATTTTTTTAGGTTAGTGGACACAAGTAACATGAACATACTGACATTTTAGATGGGGAAGCACTGGAAAAATAGTCTGCTCTAGATGTCTACAGTTCCCTGGTGGCTCAATGGCTAAACATTCAACGGCGAACCAAATGTCTGGGAGCCAAGCATGCCAGCACTCCATGGAAGGAAGGTGGGGCCACAGTCTGCTGCCATAACTATTATGGTCTTGGAAACCCTCTGGGGCAGTTTTGGATCTACAGTTTAAGTATAACCTGTGAATAAGAGTTTTTGTAAATTTTAACCAGTGAAAAATGTTTCTTTAGATACTAATTTGTGTCATATAAGAATCACAAAAACTAATTTCAGTGTCCCAAAATAAAGTTTTATTTGAACACGGCGATACTAACTCACTTGCGTATCACTGATGACTGCTTTTGAGCTAGCCTGGCAGAGCTGTGTGGTTGCAACAGAGACTGGATGGCCCAAATGACCATCTGGCCCTTCACAGAGAGGAAGAAGTTTGCCAAGCTCTGGTCGAGACACTAAATGTGTTTTAACAAAGAGCCAGACCCCATTCCTGTGGCAAATCTAGTCTCCCAGGGGAACTCACTTTTGCGCAAATACATCCCCCAATGTGTTCGGGCCACAAAAAAGAAGTCATTATTACAAAAATCTAGAAAGTCAATTAAAGTATCATCTCTATGTATCTTTATATTTTAAGGCCTCCAAGATATAACAGTTTCTCTTTTATGACAATAAAAAAACTAGCAATTTTAATCTACTCTACATGCCTACGAACAATTCCTTCAGTCTCCTTCCTCCTTTTCTCTCAGGAGGGTCAGAGGAGAGAAATGAATTGATTATTCACGGTAGCCACAGAAACTTAACTCTTTATATAACTACTTTTTTTTAAGGCAAAGAAAAATCAGAACAATAAAAAAGAAAACTTCAAACCAAAGAACAGAGATATTTAATATGACAAAACAGCATCATATTGTTTACCCCCACTCACTGCCGTCGAGTCGATCCCGCCTCTGGAGATCCTGTAAGACGGGGTAGAACTGCCCCTGTGGGGTTCCGGGACTGAAAGTCCTCATGGAAGTAACCTAGATCCTTATAAACGTCTGAAATGCCTCATGAATGACGATACTTCACTGTGTTTCACTTATTCTTCTGAAAGGCAGGTGTCACCGTCCACTGAGTCTGTTAGAAGACTCTGATAAGAGGGGTCTGACCTCTTTTAATTTGGGGTTTTAAGTCACAAAATAACGTTTTGGGGGAAAATGATAACCTGAAACTACCCAAGTAGTACAGTTTGGGCTGTAATAGAGGTCCCTGAGAGAATCAGCTGTCTGTGTAAGAAATCGTTGTCATCGATTGTTTAATTGTATAATCTCACTCGATGGGATTGAACAACAGAATTGATTGTGAATGGATATATTGGATTGTGTAAGGTGAGTCAATAAAACCATTGTATTAGAGAGAGAGAGAGAGAGAGGATGGACAGTATTAAGCACAGCATCTCAGCAGAGGGACCAGCAGAGGCAAAGCTACAGAAGTCTGGGAGTTGCTGAAGACAGTGTCCCCATCTCTTACTGCTTCACATAAGTATGGAAGCAGAAGGCAAGCAGTGTTAAAGCATAGAGAGCAATTATAGAGTATTTTCTGTTGAAATTAATAATAAATGTTTTGAGCTTGAAAAAAATTACCATCTTGAAAAAGTAGCTAAGAGGGAACAAAAAAGGCAAAAAATATGACTGACTACTTGACCTCATCAGTAACCTGTGCACTCTATGCATACTTAGAGCTTGGGGTAAAACTGTGCGGGAGAACATCAGGCAAACTCAAAACACACTGTCTTTAAAATAACCTAAGTGCAAGCAAGGCAGTTGTTCTATAATGTGTGAAAGGTGGCTCTAGCGGTGTCAGAACAGGAAAATGTTCTTAGATTGGTGGTATGGTTGATGGCGACACAATTCTGTGACTATACTAACACCACTGAATTGTACACTTCAATGAGCAAATCATTTATATTAAAGAATTACACTTAAGAAATCTGTTTCCTTAAAAAAGACCCTGAATATAATCATTGCATAAGAGATCAAACTGGGAAAGGCAGTATTTCTAAAGTATCATTTTATGTTTATTTCACACATATATATGTAGCTACATGCATAATTTGAGGAATATAAATAAATGTATAACTATTTCACTTGACTATTTCATCTATCCGCCCAAAAGTTTATAAAATCATGATCTGGGAATCTTATCAGTAAGAAAATAGAAATATCTCTTATACTCAAATTGCCTCATTTGCAGGCTTAAAAATAATTCTCAATACACAAAAATTATTCTTTCTTTTAAAAAACCCAGGAAGTGTGAAAATTAGGTTTTGTGTCAACTTTGTGCTGCGTGCGTGCGTGCGTGCGTGTGTGTGAACTTATTGTCAGTGGTTTGGCAGTTCCTCCCTAGTAACCCCCCACAATGTGACCTAACCCAGTGCAGTGAACTCCACAGTGGATCTGCTGTGAGCAGCCCAAGAGTGCTAAGATCAGAGAGGAACTCAGTCCACAACTCTGAAGCCACTAAAGGGAGTTTCCATGGGAGAACGACCTACTTCCTACACAAGTAGACACTGTGGAAAAGCTTGCTTGCTTTTTGTTGGATCTAGATACAGCACCTGCCTCATCAACCTCTGGTTCCTTGGACTGTGAGCCTGTCATATTGCTTCCAATCACAGGAGCCATCAGTGTGGCCTGCCGTTTGGCCTGCAGACTTTAGATTCGTTGGACTTTCCATTCACAAGTCTGAGCTGCTACCTTGGATTCATCCACCTCTGCAGCCATCAGCCTGTGGTGCTCCTGCTAATCTTGGGTTCATCAGCCACCGAAGCTCCAAGTGTCAGGAGAAGCCTCCAGTTTAACACCTGATCCACAGATGTGGAACCTGTGTGGACTCATCCTGGACTTGCCTACTGCTACAACTATGGCATTGGTTTTGTTTCTCTAGAAAACTCAAGTCTAACACAGGAAGGTAACAAAGTATTTCAGAAAATTAAATGGTTAAAAATCATAGCAATTTCCTTCCTGAAGAATCCAAAGATCAAAGATAAGAAACTGCTCAACCTTCGATAGTGATGAGTAAACCACTATTTTACAATTTCAACTCCTAATATTATATACGTTTAACTAAAACAATTATTTAAAAATGAATTAAGTAGTCCATACCACAAATTCAATTTTCCCCCAAATCAGATAATAGGTATATGAAGAACCAAATTATTCTTTGCCACTACGTCAATCCTCATTCATAACAGCCTGTTAGGACAGAGCACATCTGCTCCCTTTGGGCTTCAGAGACTTCAGATCTTTATGGAAGTAGAGAGCCTCATCTTTCTCCCTAGGAATGATTGGTGGGTTCAAACCACAGACCTTGTGGTTAGCAGTTCAATTCTCACTCAACTATGCCACCAGGGCCCCTTCATCTGTGTATAGCCTCCTGTTAAAAAGGTGATAGAGACAAGGACCTGTGTCTTACCCTGGCTCTGGTGCAACGACTTTAGATGAGATTTTTCTATAGAAAATACTTTCTGCCTGGCCACACTCACTAACTCTAGTAGATGGTGTGTAGTAGATGAGGCGTCTGAGTTTTTGCTCCCTGAAAACTACAGAGTTCCTTTCAAATGGGTTTGAGGATTTTTAATGAGGAAAGGCCTGCTTGATTTTCTGAGGCCACTGGGCTGCAGACTTGAAGTAGGTAACATCTGCAGGCAATAGTTCAGAAAGCCTTTGATAAAGATAGTTGAGGGAAAAGGGGATTCTTTCCAAATACAGATCAGTCCATCCAAAAACTTAACACCATGCATGTGCACACATATATACAAATACACAAACATAATAACTGCTAAGTGAAAATGCCACTGTTTCTGTAAATTAAAAAAGCAACTCCTAACACTTAACATGGATTTCAGAAACCCCTAAAGCTACATGAAACACCAAGGGCAACGTGTCCCCGTGTAACCTCTACACTGGCCAGGACAAGTAGCCTCAAGGAACGACAATCAGAACGCTAACATTTTTAACCCTAATCCTAAACTAAATTTAGAGACTTTGTCCTTAAAACTAATCTTATAAAACATCACTACTTCATTTTCCAAACTTCATTGAAATCACGTGGGCTCTTTAAACTATACTAATAGCTGGCTCCTACACCTCCCTCCCAAACGCTGATATAATTAATATTAAACCCAGGCATGGGGAATTTTTAAAAGCTCCCCAGATGAGCCTCATTTGCCTCGACAAGCATTCTGGCTCTGTGATGCAGATATAAGACATGCACATTCCTTACGAGGGAAAAGTGAGGGTCAAGTTCTCAAAGTTCACACAGCACATAAGCAAAAGTGAGGCTCAGAGAGGGGAGAAGATACACGTTGTAGTATTATTATCTGGCAATTAATAAAAGAAACAATATTCTCAATTTACTTCTGAGGGTGAAATGATAATTACGCAATAAGCTAATAAAAATTAACCAAATGACACTAGAATTTTAAAAAAGTTCAAATTTTCACTGATTTGTTAGAACTTGGAAAAATATAGGCAGCATTATCCATAATAATACAAATATTTACCCCAAGTATTACGATACTTATACTATCATAAGATAAAGGCAAAAAGATTTTAAGTAAACATAATTTCTCAGATAATTATATAACCATTCAACAAATACTTACCCTGCATTTTCCAACAATAGAGATTGCTCTTAGTATTAGAGACACAGCACTGAACAAATAAAGAAAACAAAACCAAAGATTTACACCCTCATAGAGGTCACTACGGAGGCTACTAGAGAGTGGGAGGAGGGCATCAAGGAAACCGCTGGAAGGAGAGGAAAGGGTATGTGAGGAGTCAGGTGGGATTTGTACTGTTAAATAGAGAATTCTAAAGGATAAACATTTGATCAAAGACTTCAAATGGGCCTTCAAGCATACATGAAAAATGGAACCAAAAGATAATGGTAGGTGGGACTGGGGTCATCAAAGCTTGTGAGCAGTCATTTAAGTTGCAACTATTGATTTTTCTCCATCCTCAGGCAGAATGATGAAAAGAAAAACATATGGAAACACATGGATTAAAAGACCATGCAAACATCACACTGCACAATTCTGGGACCAGAAGCAGTAGATAGTACCCAGCTACCACTACCAACTGCTCTGAAAAGGATCACATTAGAACAATGGTTCTCACCCTTCCTAATGCCATGACCCTTTAATACAGTTCCTCATGTTGTGGTGGCCCCAACCATAAAATTATTTTCATTGCTACTTCATCACTGCAATTTTGCTACTGTTATGAATCGGCGATCCCTGTAAAAGGGTCAGTCAACACCCAAAGGGGTCGCGACCCACAGGTTGAGAACCACTGCATTAGAAGATCCTGGGTAGAGTGAGAGAAAATGTGGAGCAAGACTCAAAAGTCATAAAGCAGACCAGGCTGACAGACTGGATAGCGATTGGTGGAACCCCACAAGACTATAGACCTTATGTCACCCTTCAAATCGAGACTAAATGCACCCTTGTGTGAAAATAATCAAGCATTTAAGAGCAAAAGGGCATCATTCACCTGGGATGGAGGATGAGGAAACGGGGAATGGAAGCAAGACCCCCCAAAGGGAAGTGGGCTGGGTGACGGTGCACTGCAGGGGCGCAGTGGATGTGTTGAAACAAAACGTGTAAATGAAGTGCTGAGGGTTACATGATAACCTGCTCCTTCAACCTATACCTAGTTCAGAATAAGATGTTCTTTTTTTAAAGATAATGGAGTTTAAAAAAAGAATAAAAAACAAAAGATAATGGAGTTATCTTCTTTAACTTTTAATAACCAACTCTCTTTTAATAACAAATATGTATTAAAAGGTAATGAAAAGCATGAAAAGATAATTTCGCCATCAATGAAAGCACTAAGTCTGAACAACAGCGTACCTCCATGTGGGATCTTGGGGTTCTCCGGGAGTCTTCCTGGATCCGTTATGGAGGCCCTCACTAAGGCGACCAGGCAAAACATAGAAATGCCATAGAATACTTCAAAAGAAACAACGAAGTTATTTACCACTCTCCAAAATATTCTATCAACAAGCAAGGTGTAAAATCCACATTTTAATTAATGCCACCAGAATAATTCATTTTGAAAGGTGAAAAATATATGATTGCTATTTCATTTCACTTACCAAATAATATTGCCAAGCAGACTATCTTAAATGTACTACTCTAATTATTTCTGCAAGATAGCTAACAAACTTGCTATAAATGTTTATTAGCTGACAATCTTAGTATAAATCCAGCAATAGTATAATTGAGTGGGCTCCCTACTAATTACTTGTAGCATATTTTAAAGGCTCAAAACAGCATTTTAAAAATATTTATTATAGTTTCATTAATTCTAACTGGCTATACTATATTACTCTGAATTACTGAATTCAACCATCTCTTTTGAGGCTTATTAAAGAACAATTTGAAGTACAAGTAAAATAGACAAGGGAGCTTCAAAAAGTTTGTGGATAAATGAAATTTTAAAATAATGGAATCTTCCCATAAACTTTTTGAAATCTCTCTCCCATATCTTTTCAATCTGATTCTTCTACTCATTAGAAATTCATTGCCACACTGGCCAAAAATGGTTATCTAGTAATGCCAAGTGTTACCATAACACAACAATCAATATGTTTAGTATTATGAAATTATCTCCCAGTAATATATACCATACTCTATTTCCCAAACTCTACACTTGCGAGTACAAAACAGAAACATTAAAATATATACACCATACTCCACTGCTAAGAGCAAACTCATAGAAACCCTAAGGACAGGGTAGATCTGCCCAATAGGGTTTCAAGGCTGCACTGTTTCCAGAAGCAGATTGCTACCTTTTCCTCCCCAGGGGAAGCTGGTGGATTCAAACCACCACCCTTTCAGTTAGCAGTTGAACACCATGTACTTTAATCACCATACCATCGGGGCTCCAGACACACACACACACACACACACACACACACACACACACACACAAAATCATCACTACAATGTCACTTTTTAAAAAGCAAAATAACATATTTTGTAGTGTTAGGATAAATACAGAGACAGATCACATTTATTTACCCTTGCAACAGGGCTTCCAAAGTTCTTGGAAATAATGTCCACAATATAATAATTTAATATTCACAGCATTATGATATTAAAAGAAAGTATAGGGATATCGGAAGGGTGGAGGGAAGGTGAGAGAGAAAGAGGGAACAGATGACAAGGTCTACATATAACCTCCTCCCTGGGGGACGGACAGCAGAGAAGTGGGTGAGGGAGATGTCGGATAGTCTAAGATATGATAAAATAATAATAATTTATAAATTATCAAGGGTTCAGGGGGAGGGGGGAGCAGGGAGGGAGGGGGAAAAATGAGGAACTGACGCCAAGAGCTCAAGTGGAAAGCGGGTGTTGTGAGAATGATGATGGCAACATATGTACTAATGTGGTGGACACAAACGATGCATGTACGGATTGTGAATAGTTGTATGAGCCCCTAATAAAATGATTACAAAAAAAAAAGAAAGTATGATGGGACCATATGCCAAAACCATTCACATGAGAAAATCTTTAGTGATAGAAGGAAATGAAGAGGTAGAAACTTACTTATTATTAATACGCCTGGAATGTGGCCTTCTTCATAGTGAGGAAAGAGGACGATTTTGGGAATGATCACGATATTGTACAGCCAGACAAAGACAATCAAACCCATGCAGCACCAGCCATGGGGGTCAACCACAAAGTGAATCCGGAGGCCCATGGTGCAGGCCCACGATGGTTGCCGACCCACCAGGAGCAGTGAGCCTGGGGAGGGACACACACAAAATTACTGACGTCGGAAAGCGGGCCTTGACTAAAACAAAGCTGCACTTCCCGGACCTAGAAAATGACACATCTTTGTGTACTGAGTTCTATTGATAACAACATAAAAGATTGGACAAACAAAGAAGTTTTGTGAGACTCAAATTTCGCTGAAAGCTTAATTTCCATTTAAGTTTCCAATTTAATTCCCATTCATTTACTGGAGGTAAATGCAGGGGACATGAGTGCATTCATTCACCAACAGATAATGCACAAACCTCTTTTTAGCTTTAATTGTAAGCCTCACTGATGGTCCAGGTTATTTGTTAAGAGAAAGAGACATGATGAAACCTTTAGACAGAAATACGGCCAGCTGAGTGGCACTGTATGGTATGAATACATGGTGGTAATAAAGTATTGCGACTGGGAATCCAGTTCACACATATTGTTGCTGTTCGGGTCCTTGGGGTCGGTTCTGACTCACAGGGACCGTATGCACAACAATGTAAACTGCCAAGTCTTGTGCCCTCCTCACAGTTGTTCTTATGTTTGAGCCCATTGTGGGAGCCACTGGACCATCCACCTTATGGAAGGTCTTCTTCTTTTCCACTGCCCTCCACTTTACCAAGCACGGTATCCTCTTTCAGGGACTTGTCTTTCCTGATAACGTGTCCAAAACATGGAAGGCTCAAAGCCTGGCTATCTGTGCCTCTGAGAGTATTCTGCCGGTGCTTCTTCAAGACAGATTTGTTTGGGTCAGGCGTACCTGAGTCCCCAAAGGAACATCACTGGTTTTAAATACTTTGAAAAGGTCTTGTGCAGCAGATTAATCCAATGCAGTGTGCTGTTGATCTCTTGACTACTGCTTCTTGAGCACTGGTTGTGGATCCAAGCCAGACTAAATCCTTGATAACTCACATCTTTTCTCTGTTTATCATGATGTTACTTATTGGTCTCGTGGTGAGGATCTGGGTTTTCATTACACCGAGTTGCGACCCATACTGAAAGCTGCAATCCTTGATCTTCATCAGCAAATGCTTCCAGTTCTCCTCACTTTCAGCAAGCTAGGTTGTGTAATCTGCACAGAAAAGACTGCTAATAAGCCTTCCTCCCATCCTGATGCCGAATTTTTCTTCAAAGAAGGCAGTTTCTCTGATGGTCTATACTCAGCATATAGACTGAGTAGTATGCTGAGCGCACAGCTTTCATACATGCATAGGTTTATACCAAACAAAACCTGTTTAACTATATCTCTGTAATTAATGGATGGCTGCACACAAATTATCTCAGTAATACACATGTCTCAGTCTTGCTAGGATGATAAAAATAATTTTAAACGGTCCAATCAAGCCAGTGGCTCTCAAGGGGATCCAGTAAGCCACCTAAATTCAAGCCCGACAAGTCAGCTCAGAAGGTTATGATAACCGTTATTGGGAACTCCAAAGGGGTTCACGGATTTTTCTCAAAGAACACAGGATAATTACGGAGGCTTATTATGGTGACTTTTTTAAAACACAGAACACGGCACTGGTGAGAAAAAGGCCAGGAAAGTTGTGCCAAGGCATTTTCTCCCAGCATGACAATGCATTCTTTGAGGGTAGCCAGGCCTGTCCTATGAAAATTCCACTAGGACATCTTCACCATCCTCATCGTGCCGCTTCAGGCTTCTTTTTGTTCCCCAAGTTCAAAAACCATTGAAAAGGAAGAACACAATCTGAGTCCCTGTCGTGACCATTGTTCTGAGGTAGGATCAATTCAGCGAAAGGTTCTCTCACTGCCATCAGCCGGACTCCGACCCACAGCAGCCCTAAGTAGAGTTTCCAGGGCTTTGCAAATCTTCACAGGAGTAGACAGCTTCAATTTCTTCCCTGGGAGCAGCTGGTGGATTTGAACTGTTGACCTTAAGGTTAACGGTCCAATACTTACCAGACAGGGCCACCAGGGCTCCTTAGGGAAGGGTTAGAAAGATGCAACACACCTTCAGAAGTGCAGAGACCTAACAGAGGTTATGTCGAAAAAAAGTAGCATCTCATCTTAATATTTTTGTTTACCAAAGGATTCTGATTTGTAGCAATATCTTCTGCACTTGATCTTAGTTAAAAGGCTAAAATGCGACTGTAACAATACTTTCAGATTTGCTCTCATCTGCAAAGGTTCACTGAGCTGCATACTTGTGCTCTTTGGTGTACATATAATGCCACAGTCAAAAAATTTTTTTTAAATTGCAATTAAAAAGTAAAGAGTAACTATACATTGTCAAAATTTATAAATCCATGAAACAATGCCCAATTTATCTTATTATTTATGCATACAAGACAACTCCTACTTAAATGGGATTTCAAAAAAGGTCCAGTAGAGTTAAAACTGCCAATATACTTCCCAAGCAAAAACTTAAGAGTTGAGATCCCCTGTAAATATAGCTATTAAAAAAGTGACTTACATTATAAGATCTACAGGACCAGTGGTGTGAGTGGCAATACTGGGAGGGTAGAGGGAGAGTGGGTTGGAAAGCGGGAACCGATGACAAGGAACTATATGTGACCTCCTCCCTGGGGGACAGACAACCGAAAAGTGGGGGAAGGGAGACGTCGGACAGGGCAAGATATGACAAAATAACAATTTATAAATTATCAAGGGCTCATGAGGGAGGAGGGAGCGGGGAGGGAGGGGGAAAATAAGGACCTAAATGCCGGGGGCTTAAGTGAAGAGGAAATGTTTTGAGAATGATGAGGGCAATGAATGTACAAATGCGCTTTACACGATTGATGAGTGTATGGATTGTGATAAGAGTTGTATGAGCCCCTAATAAAATGATTTTTAAAAATTATAAGATCTAGGGGCTACTTTAACCATAAAACATAATGCAATACAGTACTTACAATGACAAACTAGTACAGTGGTTCTCAAATCTGTAGGCAAACCAGATTCAACTAGGAATTTTATACTACTGAATCAGACTTTCTATAGACTCACTCACTGCTGCTGAGTAAGTTCCAACTCAAAGCGGCCCAGCAGGGCAGGGCAGACCTGCCCCTATGGAGTGCCCAAGGCTGCAGCCTTGATGGAAGCTGGTGGCCACATCCTCCTCCTGCAGAGTGGCTGGTGGGTTCAAACCACCCAGGGGTTAGGGACATGCTCTAACCCAGGGGTCCTCAAACTGCGGCCTGCCAAGGACAGTTACCCAGCCCGCCGGGTGTTTTTGCCCCATTTTGGTTTCTTACTTCAAAATAAGATATGTGCAGTGTGCATAGGAATTTGTTCATAGTTTTTTTAAAAAACTAGAGTCCAGCCCTCCAACGGGTCTGAGGGACAGTGAACTGGACCCGTTTAAGAAGTTTGAGGACCCTTGCTCTAACCCCTATGCTACTGAAGATCCTTTCTTAGTAAATAAAGCTAAACAACAATAACAACAACAAAACGCAGTTCTGAAATCGCTCTCCAGGTGTTTCTGATACAGCTGACTGCCGTCCAGTAGCCACTGACCCAGGGCACATCGCAAAGTCCGCAACGTCACAGCTAAGAGTTGAACCCAATCAGTTCAACGAATGCGCCTTAAACTTCCACTGTGTACTCGTCATATGCTTTAAGCACTGTAGATACTGGGGCACAGATGACAGGGGGTCACTAAGTTAGCATTTAAACAAGGCTTCCTGTAGGAGGTGAAGTCTAGCTTCAGAGTAAAAAGATGAGTTAAAAGTTTGCTGGAAAATTCTATTATCTTTTAAATCAGTGGTTCTCAACCTTCCTAATGCCGTGACCCTTTAATACAGTTCCTCGTGCTGGGGTGGCCCCCCCAACCATCAAATTATTCTCGTTGGTACTTACATAACTGTCATTTTGCTACTGCTATGAATGGGCAACCCCTGTGAAAGAGTCGTTAGACCCCCCACTGGGGTCGTGACCTACAGGTTGAGAACCACTGTTTTAAATCCGTATTTTTCCACTCCACAAACTTTTTGAAGCCCCTTCATATAAAAGTTAAGAATGTGGGAGGTATTACAAGTTGCCTACAGTAAAACAGGGGCGGCCCTGGGGTAGCACCTACAGTTAATAAGCACTCAGCTACTAGCCAAGGGGTAGTGGATTCAAATCCACCCACAGCTGCCTTAATAGAACATCTTGGTAATCTACTCTCAAACGGTCACAGACATTGAAAACACGGAGTAGCACAGCTGGGCTATGTATGCACGGGGTTGCCATGAGTAGAGTTCAACTCAACAGCAACTTAGTGTTTTTTTCCACTAAAGTGTTCAGTGGTGAGAGTGGTAAGAAAGGGTTATATCATGAGAGCTTAAGAAGACCAGGTTAGCATGCTAAAACTTCTGTCACTGGCATTGCAAAGCAACTGGAGCAGGGGTTTCACTTGAGATTTTAATTTTAAATAAATTACTGAAATTCAATAAAATTCAAGACACGGACTAATTAGAAGACAAAAGCCAAAATTAGTTTTGGACAAGGGACCAACTGAAGAAACAGAATCAAATCAGTGCATTTTACTGACCAAATGGGTATTAGGGTTTACAAAGGAGAGAGTCCAAGGATGACTTCGTTTTTGGTTTAGCACCCAGACTACGTCAACCTAAGAATATTTACAACAGATGAGTTGACGAGGCTGAGGGTGCTTTCCCTTAGAGGCCTTGACAGTATTCTTCGTCAAAGCTGTAAGTCTACCCAAACCAATTAAAAAGGATTAAGGAATATTTCACTTCATAAGACTACTCCTATTCTCTCTCCCAGAGAACCGACAATAATTAGTCAGAAGAAGAAAAGAACCCAAATGCAGCCCCGCCCAATGGTGTGCATCACCTATGGTCCAATGCCGTACTCGTTTACAAATTATAAAAAGGGGCAAACGTGTTAGATATTTTAAAAAGTAAAAGTTACACTTCTTAACCTCTCAATTAGAAATTTAAAAATCTATTAGTACCATTAAAATTAAGTAAGTCGTTGAGGATAAAGCTCACTACTTAATTTGCTTGGTTATCCTTACTTTAAAAATCTCTAAGAGCTCATATTCAAATGGTAAAAGCTATCTACACAGCTAAAAAGGGAAACTTTCAAAACAATGTTCATTTTGGACAGACTTGCCAACTATCAAGTGCTTTAAAAAAAATGACAGCAGGCTGTCTCTCAACATGTTCAATATTATCTCATTCTTTTCAATATTTCAGTTCCACTTGGGATTAATAAACAGAATATGAATTCCAATTAGGTTATGCATAAGGCAGAGTAATTCCAGTACAGAACGTATTAACTTACTGTATAACATCTAGGTGCTACCTTTACCATTTCTGAATGTATTAACATTCGAAACAGAAAAGCACATTGCCAGCACAACAAAATGATCAAATAATTCATTCACTCTTTTTCAATATATATTTGTACAAGAAAATAACAAATTTCTCTAGGCACCAGAAGAAATTCCTCACAACAAAAAGTATCAGGGAGTGAAAAGAGTGGTTTTAAAGGCATCAGTTTATCCAGGATATAAATGCAGCAGACAGAAGGCAGGCTTGGAGAGAAGAGGTATGTCACAGGAAAAGTAAGCCTAGAATAACAAAATAAACAATAAATAAGATGCTGAATATTATAAAATATACATGTATATATATATGTACCTGATTAGCAAAAATTAGGGCCACATAATCCTTGCAAATGATCTGTAGAGAGGAAAGCAGTGATCTTCTGGGAGCTCCAGGTGGGATCAGAACTACAAGTCCATCACTAGCATGCAGTAGGATCACGCCACTCAGTTAATACCTACCAGGCATGACTTGTGGCTGAACAGAAACTATTACACATCCGGAGGCACAACCCAACTGGCAACAACGCTGCTATTTGGTCTCGAGCAAGGTTGTCATTTGTCAAGTACTTTCATTGGCTAGAGATTCCAACATACTAATTTGTATATTAAATAGTGAGCTCATAACTCCAACTTTGATGCAAGTAGTGGACATACTGGTACTTCAACATTTTTAAAGATTGCTATCTGGTAGCTATACTTGATTAGTGACTAACTTGGCAATGATGTAAATTACTACAGCACAGACTTTTAAAAAGAATTATAATTCAACTCTAATAAACCAGACAACATAAATATTTACAATGTCTAAACTATTCTGGTGGATACCTCTTTTCATCTTTTTAGACAAGGATATATATTTCACCGTATGTTTTCCCAGGAAGAATATTCAAGGCCTTATGAAAAGACTATGACAGAACACTACTGCACCTTAGGACAGAAAATCTGACTAGCCAAAATAATTCACACTAACTCTAACCAAACCCACCCTGCTAAGCTTACACTTTTACGACTTTCAATCACGGTCAAACTGGCCCTATTCCTCGTCCACATGCAAACATGGTTCCCCTCCCATTGCTCCTGACTCAGGTTCTCCACCTTTCTTACTCTATCAACTTTCTGCTCATACTTCACAGTGAATTTGAATCCTGCTCTCTGCATCATACTCATGGTTCTTCAGTTTCCAGTGATTTTACTGTGCCTACTGAATTCCAAATTAAAAAAAAAACTTTTAGAAGAAGATGTGGCATTAAGGCATACTCAACCACATACAGATGGAGTTTTCTAAAGTGTAAAGTTCACCAAAAAATATAGCTAAAAGACATAAAGTCTCTCTGGATAAAATGGAACATGACTGATAAGCAGAGAAAATAAATGACTAGAAAACGTGGAATAACAGATACATTTTTCATCCAGCTTTTGAAAAACAATTCTGGGGAATTATAATACTTTTTAAAAGTCTGTGCTGAAAAACAAAACTGAGGATCCAGTTGAGCAGGCATAGGAGAAAGGACACTCTCATTCGTTCAGTGGTGTCTGTAACCGCACACACCATCTTTGGACGGCGTTTTGGCAGCACCTATCAAGGTAACTCAGGGGGCTTACTTCCTGTAATACTGAGAAGTGTCACAGGGTGCTTTTTATAGTTATAAAAATATGGCACAAACTCAATCTCTACATGGGAAGAATGATCAAATAAATTCTATCAAATCCATAACACCAACCCCACCCCCACCTCACCCCAAAAATCCCCACCACTGTGTTAGCTCCAACGCACAGCGACCTGACAGAGCACAGTGGACTGCTCCTGTGCGTTTTCGAGGCGAGTTCTTTATGGGCATAGAAAGCCTCATCCTTCGACTCAGCAGCTGGCAGTTTCAAGCTGCTGACCGTACGTATGACGAGCAGCTGAGGTGTGACCACTACGCCATCTGGGCTCCTCAACATACCCGAAGCTCACGCTGTTTTCAAGGTGACCAACAGGCTGGTGGTCTGAACCTGCGTGCAGCAGCTCCATGGGAGAAAGATGCGGCAATCTGCCCCCTACAGGTCACAGCTTTGGGCAGCCTGTGGGCCAGACCACCCTCTCCTAAGGAGCCGCTGCGTCAGCATCAACTGGACAGCAACAGGTTTTATTTCCCAGCTAGCACAATTTTAAAAGAGAAACAGGAGCGCGAAAACAGGAACAAGATCAAAGTCTGCATGTGGTTATCTATACTTACTGCCAAGTAAAAAGAGCCATTTACTTAAGAGAGGCTGCCATGGGGGATGGGCAACAGATTAGGAAAGGAGATGTAGGAACTTCAAAAACTTCAGGGAAAATTCCATTATCTTTCAATTCCACTTTTCCATGAACTTTTTGAAGCTCCCGCAAATATATAAACATGAATATATATGTAGTCAAATAACACAATTCAGAAAAATTTCTCTGAAGCTCATATTACTGCATGTCCCCCTTTAAAAACAATGCTGTTTAGAAAGTTAAACCTTCAAAGATCTAAATAAGCATAACTACAATTTATTTTTGATCATCAACAATAAGTAAGTGCATCAAAGCATAAGACGTGACTTAATTTATATGCATACTAGGTATCTTTCTAAATACTCAAGCATACTGTATCGGATAAATCAGACGCCTCCCCATGCACAAATAAATGCAAACTTACCACTTGTAAATTCACTGAGATGTGTAGTAATTTTTCTAGCACTCACATTTAGAGGTTTTTATCTTGATTCATTCTTTATGATTGCGTCCCACCAAACGGCTCTGTGCTCAGGAACAGTTCTCCATGAAGACCTGTAACTGGTTTAACAAATGAGGACTTGTCACAGCAAAGATAAAAACTGAAAGCAGCTACACAGTCTCCCTGTGAACATGTCAATTACAAAAGTTTCAAATTCAGAAAATATGATGGAACCCACCTGATCTCTGCTTAAGATTCCACTGCACCTCTAAGAATGTTGGATTTGATTGCCGTGATGCTCTGAAGCTTTGAAACCACCCAATTCCCATAAAATCCCATAAGCATCAGGTGTCCACCATACTGAAGTTGTCACAAATTTCATTTTACTTGGCAGCCCAATCAACGTCCAGGAGAGCAGCAGTCAAGAAATCAAATGATATATTGCATTGGCCAAATGTCACTTTGAGGACTAGGATGTGCCTAACACAAGTCATGGTATTTTCAAACACCAAAAATGCATGTGAAGCTTAGATATTGAACAAGGGAGCCTGAAAAGGAATCGGTGCACTTGAATTATGGTACTGGTGAAGAATCATGAATAAAGCATGGACTACCAGAAGAACGAATGAATCTGTCTTGGAAGAAAGACAGCCATTATGGTCCTCCACAGTGAGGACAGCAAGAACCTAACTGACGGTTATCAGGAGGTACCAATCCCTGGGATTGGTAAAGGAAAGGGTGAGAGAAAAAGAGGAAGGCCTTCAAAGAGATGGATTGACACTGGCTACAATTAATGGCAGAAACATAAATGAGATATTCTTCTGTTACACATGAAGGGCTTCAAGATGATTCATTTGTGGAAAAATGAACTTAAAAGATAATGAAATGTCCCCATAGACTCCTGGAGTATAAATGGACTCAGCGGCATCATTTGGGCCACATCAAATCTGCATGGCACAATTATGACAGTGGATTCTGAGATCACTGATGGGGCAGAAAGCACTAAAATTATCTCCCAAGATATGGATGAGGACAGAAATTTCTAATCACAAATGACAAACAGAATACAGAGTTCCAAATAGGAGCAATTTTAGTTTAATATTATACATACCTTTACCACATTAGACACTAAGAAGCCAAAGGTAAAGAACATATTCAGCATACATACCGTATATACTCATGTATAAGCTGAGTTTTTCAGCACATTTTTGTGTAGTTTTTGTAGTAAAATTAGGTGCCTCGGCTGATATTCAGGTCGGCTTATACTCGAGTATATACAGTATACCAAGCTGAAAATAACTAAAGAAAAAAAAATCAAGCTTTGAGATGAAAAACAAAAGGTTTCGATGGATAAAATACTGAATGATGCAGGAGGCACCAAAAGGAAATAGACACATAGCTGCCACTGTACCAAAAGGAACTGAAAACAATCATTTCAAGAAACAGCATATGATCAAGAACCAGTGACGTTGAAGGAGAAGCCCAAGCTGCACTGAAGGCATGCGTGGAAAAGAAGGCATTAGGAATTGACAAAATACCAAGTGAAATGTTTCAACAAACTGACAACATAGGAGGAACTCATTGGTCTCTCTAGGCCAAGACATTTGGAAGATAGTAACCTGGTCAGCCAGTAAGAGGTGATCCCTACTTGTGTTCGTTCCAAAGAAAGGGGGCCCAGCAGAATGCAGAAATTAATTGAACAATATCAAAACAGGTGTGCACCAGGGTTGTATCCACTCACTATACCAATTCAATCTGTGTGCTGAACAAATAGTCAGAGAAGATAGCCTAATAGGAAGAATGAGGCCATCAGAATTGGAGGAAGGCTGGGATATGCAAATGCGACAGCATTGCTTTCTGAAAGCCTAGAGGACTTGAAGCACTTATTGATGGAAATCCAAGATTTTCAAACAGCTTTCAGTATGGATTACAACTTAATATAGAGAAAGTCAAACTCCTCACAACTGGACAAATACAAAGCATCACAAGAAACAGAGAAAAGATTGATGTGGTCCAGGATTTCATTTTATTCAACTCCATAATCAACACTGATGGAAGCAGTAGTCAAAAAAGCAAATGGTGAATTGAACTCGGCAAATTTGTTGCACAAGATCTATTTAAAATGTTGAAAAGCAAGAATGTCACTTGAGGGTTAAATACCAAGCCACCATGGTATTTTCAATCACCACATAGGCATGTGAAAGTTGGACAATAAATAAAGCCCCAAAAGAATGGATGCATTTGAATTATGGTGCTAGCGAGGAATACTGAGAGCATCATGGACTGCCAGACGAACACATAACTCTGTCTTGGAGGAAGAAACCACCAGAATGTTCTGTGTTAAGTGATGATGGCAAGACCAGGCTCATATATTCAGACATGTCATCAGGAGAGACTAGTTCCCAGAAAAAAGACACTACGTTTGGTAAAATCAAGGCTCATGGAAAAAGAGGCAGCCGCTCAACAAGACGGACTGACAGTGGCTGCGATGATGGGCTTAAGCCTGACAATAACTGTAAGGATGATGCAGGACCAGGCAGCGTTCCATTTTGTCAGACATCTTTGGGTCACTATGAGTTGGAGCAAACTTGATGGCACATGTCATCCACTCCAATATTTTTCTCTTATTCCATTTCACTTTCATTAGAAAATATATAAAACTGCTTACAGACCAATTTCAGGATCAACAGATTAAGATCAAACCTCAGCTAGAAAATGCTGTTTATCTGAGCCAGGAAATATGGAACTTTATCCTGGAAATAGTGAATGATTCTTAAGGATCTGAGGCAGAAAATTGCAAAAATTAAAGCCTAAAACCCAGACTACAAAGACTAGCAATACTTTGACTGATGAACCTGTGTGGAAGGATAAAGCATGCACACCAAGTATATGCAATACGCCAAGTTCACGTTAACCATGGCTATGATGAGTGCATCTCCTAAGCAAACCCAAACCATCACTTAAAAGTGAAGCATGGGGTGGGAAATGATACACATGGGCATACTCAGGAGAATTTTGGGAATTAAACTGGTAGAACTTGATAGTTAAATTGGTAGCAAAGGGCAAACTGTAGAGCGGCTCCTAAGGTTCTGATTTAGAGACTAGCGGAAATGAAGGACGCATCAGGAGCTCATCAAGCACACTGCTTGCTTACCAGAGCACCAGCAAGCAATTACATATTAAGGATGTGGAAAAAGCCACTGAGTCATGATCAAAACATTTCCATTCACCTTCTAGATTCAAACCAACCAACCCTATATTTTCTCCCAGGGTCAATTTTTCCAGGGCTGTGTATTGTTAGATTGCCAAATGTAACTGGTTCCCATCTGACCTTCTGCGCTAATTTAAAGTGGTCTCCTGGGCTACCCCTTTCATTATAAGCAGAGACCACATCCAGAGTCACAAAGGTAAAGGGGATGCTAGTATAATGGCACGTGAGCAAGGAGAGTCACCAGAGAATGAGAGGCCCAGCGAAGTGCTCTGCCGTGATGAGCAAAGGCACCCACATTGCTACGGCTGGGACCCCAGGATGGCTGCTGGAAATACGACAGGCGTGTCTGCCCCTAACGCGAGGTGATTCTGAGTCAAACCCATCCCAGCCATTCATTGGCTTAAGTCAGCAACCCTACTCTGCATTGGCATTCGTTAGCGCTGAGCTGCAGGCATAACGTCCCAGCACCCCAAGGTATTTCTGTGCTAGCCTGGTACTACCACCGACCACCAGAACGGAATCAAAGGGCAATGTTAGGGTAGGAAAGTAATGTTGGCCATACAAATAAAAGACATTTTTGGATGGCAAACACTACCATATTGTCTCAGAACTACAATATGCCATTAATATTTTTTCTTACAATGCAACATCTGAAAGAATACAATTATACAACTAACAACGTATAGGCCATGTTTTTAAGTTTTTGCCACCACAGTGTCAAAAAAGTGCTAAAATATTAAAGGAATATATTAAATTTAACTCTGATAATTACAATGTAAAGTACGTTGAGAAGTTACAGCTATATACCTTTAAACTTAGTTATACAGCCAGTGGACTTCTGACTTATCTACAGTAACAATTGGTCAAGAATGACAGTTCAATTGTTCTACCTAAAATATCAGGCTATACAAAAAAAAAAAAAAATTGCCCTCACTGCCATGAAGTCCATTTTGACTCGTAGCACCCCTACAGGACAGAGTAAAACTGCCCTGTGTGTTCCTGAGACAGTGAATCTTCGTGGGAATTGAAAGCCTCATGTTTCTCCATCAGAGCAGCTGGTAGTTTCAAACTGCTGACCTTGTGATTCGGAGCCCAATGTGTTGTTACCCATGCCACCAGGGCTCCATCAGCTGCACTTAATACTTAGCTAATAGAGCAATCCAATTATTAAAGTATTGCATAAATATTCAGTGTATCACCAACAGAGTAGGAAATTTGCACAGAAGTCAAAAACATGTTGCAGATTCAGATTCAGAACTGGAATTTAAAAAAATAAAAGCAAAACAACCTGTTGCCTTAGGTCCATTCTGACTCACAGCCACACTACAGGATGAGCAGAACTGCCCCACAGGGTTTCTCCCCAAGACTAACAATCTACAGGGCCAGATTGCTGGGTTCCAACTACAGGCCTTTCCAGTTAGCCGCTGACTGCTTAACTAACCCCGTGCCTTCGAGTTTCTTCTTGTTGGCTTTCTTAACTTCCGTTTCTTTTCAAAAGCTTCAGAAATGCACATCTTAGAGCAAGTCATTCATCACTACATTCTCGGCAAAATTGACAGAAGCCAAAAATGCTCTAAACGCAAACTTGTTCTTCTGTGTAATTGCTTCATAAGTATAAAATAAATTAGTAATGCTTATTAACATGCTACATTCCAGTGATGCACGTCATCAGAAATCTAACAATACGCAGAAACTACCTGGAGGGTGTGGTGTGATGAAAATTAAAAATCACTGAGTATTGCTGTGTTATTGTTATTGCCAGGTTCCCTCAAGTCCACTGAGACTCAGAGTGCTGCGCACAGCAGACGCAAACATTGCCAGTCCTGTGCCATCCTCACAATGGCTCTGTTGGAGCCCACTGTCGCAGCCACTGTGTCAAGTCATGGTGTTGAAGGACTTCCTC